ATTATTATTATTCTGTTGCAGATTGTAACATTAAAAGAACAACACAGACGGCAAACCTTCTCTCATTGTAAGTATTGTAATTTATATTCGACTTTGACTTTGTCGCGTTTTTTAGCACAATCTACTTTCGTAGATTTTGTAGAATTAATGTTTTTGCAGCTAACGAGAGTTCTGACCACTGTTTCATCGTGCTGTATTTTGGTACCCGTGCTGTATTTTGCTACCCGGCTTCACTTTCCACGTGTATATATTCTAACACCCTACATTCTACCCTGCATAATCTTTTTCCCTGCCATCTTTTCAGAATTCCTACAAAATTGTTATCCTTCTTTAGGATCTTTCCTTTCGCAATCCGGCTTTTCATCATGATTTCGTTTACTACCGTTCTCTTCTCGAATGGAATCAATAATCATGCAGCAGATGAAGGCTGAATATTGACAGCTCCCTTCTCTCTTCTTGCTAGTGAGCTTGAACAAAATTCACTCTTAATTAATTAAAAACAACTGGTCGTAAATCAACTTCGACCGACATGAATCGAGTCAGGAATCAGTTGTCGCTGCGATGCGCATTGCTTCCGTACGGGCGCGCTCACATCACCCGGGAGCATCTTTCATCTTCTGACATCTTACAACTCTAGCTGACATCCTGCTTGCCATTCCATCCGTAGCTACAGCATCCCTTTCCCACTACATCTACACTGCTTTCTCTCTATATGGACACGAACAATGCCACATTGCACTTTCTAGAGCAGTGTATAATGTAATGCTATGGTCTGTGTGTTGGGACAGTAATCTCTATCCGATATACTAGGAACTTTCTGTAAGATTATAATCTTACTCTAAGACAGGGTCTCTCCTTGGCTTTTGCGACTCTCTCTCTCTCTCTCTCTCTCTCTCTCTCTCTCTCTTCTGCCTTCTTTCTCTCTCGCTGTCTCTCCCCTTCCCTCTCTCTCTCCATCTCTCTCTCTCTCTTACCCGTCTTTCCCCTCGCTCTACTTCTCTTCTCCTCTCTCTCTCGCTTCCTCTCTCTTTCTCTCTATTTCCCCCTCACTCTCGCTTCCTCTCTTTCGCTTCCTCTCTCTCTCTATTTCCCCCTCTCTTTCTCTCTCTCGTCTCTCTTCCTCTCTGTATTTCACCTCTTTCTCCTTCTCTGCCTTTCTCTCGCTCTCTCTCACCACTATATCTCCCCCTCGCTCCTCTCCACATCTCTCTCTCTCTCTCTCTCTCTCTCTCTCTCTCTCTCTCTCTCTC